CATCAGGGTGAGCGCCACGTCTGACGGGACTGTGGAGTGAGGCAGCTGTGGTTCTCCTGGAACGGCGCCTGTGCAGGGCTAAGCGGGACCCAGGGAAGGTGCAGCTCCTCTCTGGGCGAGGAGCGTGAGCCTGGTGGAGTCCCGGCTGGGGTCGCAGGCCCAGGCAGTCTCTCTATAGCATCTAAACGTTGGCCTCTGTTGGCCAGTGGTACATTGCGGTGTTTTCACTCATGGAGAGCAAACACAGAACCAGTCTTTCAGATTTGTCCTGAGCACCCATTATAGGCAGGGAGGCGTCCTGCACCCTGGGGATAGAACGGTGAGCAAACCAGGCAGTGTCTCAGCACAGCACCCCCACTCCAGAACATACAATCTCTTGGGAGTTCCTGGGCAGAGGTGAAACAGAAATATGGAAGGAAAGAAAATGACGCATCAAAAGATAACACGTGGTGTAGGAAAAAAATTAAGCAGGCCAAAGAGGATGGGGAATAGTTAAACAGGGTGTTTGGTGGCACTCTCTCTGAGATGGGGAGCAGGAGGCGACAGGACACAGAGCAAGAAGGCTTTCAAGTGGAGGGAATAGCAGACGCACAGACCCAGAGGCACAAGTGTCTTTTGGAGTGAAAGGACCAACGAGAAGACCAGCGTTACTGCGGTGCAGGGATGAAGGGGTGGGATGCAGACCACGCCAGGTTTGTTCACAGGGCTTTTTCTCCCAGTGAGAAGCTGGCTTGGCCAGGACTGTGGCTGTGGAGGCAGTGAGAAATAGTCTCATCCTAGCTGCATTTGGAAGAGAGAACCCCTTGGACTTGCTTGTGATTTGGATGCATGTGGTCTGGGAGGAGGAGCCCAGGAAAGTATGCCCAGGCTGTTGACTCGAACGCTGAAACTGTAGGGACGCGGCTCTTGGAGGTGGGGAGGAACCCAGGAGGTGCCAGTGGGCAGGGGCATATCAGGGGTCTGTTTGGGACACGTTCAGTTAGTTGCCAGTATACAGCCAAGTGGACATCGCCAGGTGACGTGGTTGCCAGTATCTAAACAGGCCCTGGTGAAATTACTGATTTTGCATGCATGTTCTGGCTCCTCATTGAAGGCAGGAACTAGGTCTTAAACAGTAAGTCTCACGGTCTCAGTGTTACATTTTGAACTTGATTCAAACTGCAAAACCTGGAGTGTGAAACACTTAATATTTCTCAGCACCAGAGGGAGCCCCACATGGGCCTCAAGTTCAAGGAATTCAGACTCATTTCTGGTTTAAAGCGACATCATGTCACAAAATCCCACCATGTCCATTTCATATCCACAGTAGTACCTGTCAGCCTTCACAGCATGTTTTGAGGCAGATAATGCTCCTCTGTAAGGGAATTTCAAGCAGGCAGACCCAGCCATATACATTCTCACTGAAAAATCTGTCAGTATGATTTCATTAACTGTTAATGATCAGTTAACCTTTGAGAATGTTTATGTCCTTCTGACAAACCTAATTACAAAATGAAAATACTTTTGTTATGACTACTTCAGTGTGCTTATTTGAGATATGTACAATGAGAGTTTAACTTTCACCCAAGGACAGGCAAAACCTTACTTTAGTTCATGTATATCCAGACCCCCCAAAAAAGTGCATTATCTAGATAATTCAGGCTACAGCATTAGGGAGGGAAGAATATTCATGAGGATAAGTATTAGCGAGGATAAATAATTAGGAGAAAAATAACATGGGGCCTGAGCCATGCAGTCAACTGCTTACCGTGATCAGATGACCTGAATCTTTTGCTCCTAATTTGTATGGACCCAGCTGAAGGGGTGGCATCTTTTCCTGGGATGGCAGAGCTCTCTGGGGAGAAGACAAAGCGAGCTTTTAGGAGGAAGGGACCAAAGGCAAGCCTTTGAAGTGACAGGGAAGATTTCCCCAAAGCTGTCTAGGTTAAAATAAATCCCATTATCATCGCCCTTTTCAGCATACCTCTCAAATATTCTCCTCTCTCCTCCTCACTTTTCTTTCATGCATTTTTAGGTAAGCTGTTCAAGCCCTCACTTTTCTTTCATGCATTTTTAGGTAAGCTGTTCAAGCTATCAACCACCTCACAGAATTTCATTCTAAGACCTGCTCTCGGAGTTTTGAGATGATAGAACAATGAAGGGCTTTTAAAATGCCCCCAAATATGGTGTATATAATGGGGGAGCAGGTACATCTATATTATTTCTCATGGAGTCATCAGTAACATTACTCATCACAAAGGCTTTGAAGCCATTGTCTTAAGTCTGTCGCACTTGGCAACATGTAAAAGTCTTCAGATAGATTTGTACACAGTAGAAATTATTTTCAGAATGTGAATATTGGCTGCTCTGAGGAATGTGTGTAATATGGCTGACACCGCAAGAACCTCTTGGTTAGTAGTTGTTGGGCTGACTGGCAGCACAGCTCTGCCCAGGAGCAGGGGGTCACCTAGGAAATGCAGCTAACAGACCCCACTTGAAGCAGGATTTGTTCCCTCCACTCTGTGTGTGAGGCTCATGGCTTTAAGCGGTTTGGGACAGGGTTCATGGAGCCAGCTCCGGGCTGCTCCGCCCACTTGGAACTCAGTGGGCGTCCCCATCTGATACGTAACTTGTAGGTATGTCTGTATACGTCTGCATGCTGGGAACATCGCTCTGTAATTGAATATCTGCTGTCATATATAGAGAGACACTTGATTCGCCTAGCAGATGTAAGGCTGATGCTATTTCACAATTTTTCGTATCATGGAACAAATCCATAACCTGGGGTCATTGGATTCTATTTATTCCAAGTAACACTCACCACTTTTGGGGTAGTGGAAATGTTAAGTTCATCTCTTCTGGTGATACTACAGTATCTTTGTTCACAGGGACAGAGATCAGTAACATAGGAAAAAAGAAAATGGGTTTGGGGGCCACAGAGACTGGGATTAAATCCCAACTCCATCAGGGTATAGTTCTGACATTAGGTCACTGATTCAATCTCTTTGACACTTAGAGTTCCTTTTTTGTAAAATCGGAACAACAGAATTTTTCTCACTAGTTTACTGTGAGTATCAAATAAAATAGTTTTTGTGAAGTATGTACCTAAATGTTTAACAGATAGTTGGAACTCAAAATTTCTTAAATTCTCTTTTCATTATTCAGATAATCCATAACAATGAAATTTTCCCCAGATAATATGAACATTTATATGGGCTCATGCCCACACACTGGAGAAGGAAATGGCATCCCGCTCCAGTATTCTTGCCTGGAGAATCCCATGGACAGAGGAGCCAGGCAGGCTACAGTCCACGGGATCTCAAGAGTCGGTCACGACTTAGTGATTAAACCACCACCATGCCCACACACATACTATAGTAATAGGCTTTCATATAAATTCATTCTAGTTGTTTTTCCTAAAAAACACTTAGTCTTCTATGGAGCAAATAAAATTATATCATTCAAGAAATGCATCTAAAACAAGATAAATCACAGTTACCAAAAAAATAGGTTAAGTAGAAAAGCCATAGTCCATGTAAATTACATGAAAATTTACTACTTTTTTTTAATGAAAACTTACTACTTTTAAAGTGAGATATTTTAATTATTTATGTGTTTCTGGATGTGTGTGTGCCTGTGCATGAAATTCAACAGAACATTTTCAATATTATTGTATTTAGTCAATACAGCCATCTTTCCATATCTGTGGGTTCCACACCTGTGGAGTCAACCAATCACAGATTGAAAATATTTATGGGCAAAAAAATTCTAGAAAGTTCCAAAAAGCAAAACTTGAGTAGTTTCCAGGCAATAATTTACATAGCATTTACATTATATTACAAGTAATGTAGATGAGTTAATGTATGCAGACAATGTGTGTAGGTTATATGCAAATACTGTGCCCTTTTATATGGACTTGAGTATCCTTTCAATCATTTCAATTTATTGAAATTTATGGTAGTACATGGCACATGTGTGCGTGCTCTAGTTGTGTCCAACTCTTTGTGACCCTATGGACTGCAGCCTGCTAGGCTCCTCTGTCCATGGGATTCTCCAGGCAAGAATACTGGAGTGGGTTGCCATGCTCTCCTCCAGGGGATCTTCCCGACCCCGGGATCGAACCTGGGTCTCCTGCAGCTTCTGTGTTGGCAGGTGGTTGCTTTACCAGCAGTACCACCTGGGAAGCCTGCATGGCACATAAGCAGCCTAGAAAAAACAATAGCTACTGAAAGGATGCTGGGCTACCCCTGCTTTTGATATTTGTCTTCCAGATAAAAGAGAGGCTGACTGGAATACCTGGGGCTTGACCATGTAGCTGGGCCAAGCACGTGAACTGTTGTGTATTCATTGCACCCTCAAACCCCTTGAAGTGTTGCCCAGGTTTCAGGTCCTGGGGAAGCCCTCCCTGTTTTCTCCAGCTCTCTCTGGTTCTCCTCTTCCTAAATTCCTAGAATACGCCTTCATTTGTCCAACAAATGTTTATTTTCAACTACATGCCAGGTATTCTTTTTGGGGCCAGGGACACAGTGATGAACACATAAGTGCCTGCCTCATGAAGCTAAATACAGTGTTAACTCTGATGCCTGTTCAGCGCTGTCATCGGTGAGGATAGCATCTGTCCAGTGAGTTAATAAAACACAGGAACACACTTTGGGTGTGAGTCACATGCAGCGCCCAGCGCCTGAACACTAACCAGGTGTTCCGTCATCCGGGGGCGGGGCGGGGGCATTGACTTGTTTTAACAAAGACCAGCTACAGAGCGGATACACAGTAAAACTATATTTTTGAATACTGAATGGACTTTGACTGGCTTCTCTATATGATAAACACAGGTATAGCAGAAAATTAGGAGGCTTACTTACGTGTGTTGGTAGAGGCAGATTGGGGAACTGAGTCTTTCCTTCCGATCAGCTTATGTGCAAATGTATGTTTGTGTACATGTGTATATGCAATAAAACAAGGATAAAACGTCTTCATCTTTCCCTTCTTTCCCTTCTCCCTGTCTCTTACTGTTCCCACAGGTCAGCGTGGAAGTTTTGGTAGAGTATCCTTTTTTTGTGTTCGGACAGGGCTGGTCATCCTGTTGCCCAGAGAGGACCAGCCAGCTCTTTGATTTGCCATGTTCCAAACTCTCCGTCGGGGACGTTTGTATCTCGCTCACCCTCAAGAACCTGAAGAACGGCTCTGTTAAAAAGGGCCAGCCCGTGGATCCAGCCAGCGTCCTGCTGAAGCACTCAAAGGCCGATGGCCTCGCGGGCAGTAGACACAGGTATGCCGAGCAGGAAAACGGGATCAGTCAGGGAAGCGCCCAGATGCTCTCTGAGAACGGCGAACTGAAGTTTCCTGAAAAAATAGGATTGCCGGCCGCACCCTTGCTCACCAAAATAGAACCCAGCAAGCCCGCGGCCACGAGGAAGAGGAGGTGGTCAGCGCCCGAGACCCGCAAACTGGAGAAGTCGGAAGACGAACCACCTTTGACTCTTCCCAAGCCTTCTCTCATTTCTCAGGAGGTTAAGATTTGCATCGAAGGCCGCTCGAACGTAGGCAAGTAGAAGCCACGTGGGGAAGGGAAAGCTGGCCCTCCTTTATCATTTGTATCCAGATTACAGATGTACTGTAGGCTAAATAACTCAGTATTTACATGTTATCCTCTTACTTTAGGGTTCTGTTATAACCTTGTCATTAGACTTACAGCGGGCGTTGGGCAGGTGATTTGGTGCATATGCTTTTTCCGGGCATGTCTCTCAGCGGGTGGGTAGGTGGGGTGCCAGGGTAGGTCTAGCCCAGGCTCCAGGCAGGTGGTGGGCATCCTGGTTGAGATGAAGGTGGCCCCATGGCACCCGCCTTTTCTGGCATCGTGGATGCACCCCCGGGGGCACCGACTTCCACTGGCTTCAGAGGGCTGGTCTGCGGGAAGGGAGCTGCGTCAGGGGCGTGTGCGCGTGCCTGTGTGCCAGGGCGGGTGCCTGGGTGGCACTTCCATGAGGGCGTCTCTCTCTCTGCCTCCCTCTGTCTTGCTCTCGGCACCAGACTGGAGGTCTGGGGGAATGTCCTCAGGAGGTTCCCCTGTGCAAAGTCGGCATCGGGGCCTCTGAGAGAGGTACCAGACAGCAGATGGAAAGTTAACCGTGTAAAAGAACATTTCCCCCCCCCAACTTACTTTACAATAAAAGCAACTTTTAATCGTAGAGATAAATATATATATATATATATATATTTCCCCCTATGGGGCCTGACTGCACTGATATTTTTTTAAAGAGCAACTGCCACCCATGGGATTTCGTTTCTGCTTTACCAGTGCAGTAAGTGATGTCTCCAGGGCGTCATGGTGGGCAGGCGGCCCCTGCTGGCTTCACTCCGCACTGGTTGGGGGGGGCGCTGGGCAGCAGGGGTGGGGAGAGTGAACACCCCCTCCGGTCTCTGTGCAGTGTTAGGAGAACCAATCAGGTTAATTGCATTGACTTCGCTCCCAAGAGATAAGACACAAACTGCCCTTCAAAAGAGCTGCAGAAGCTCTTTGCTTTGGGTTTGCAAATCTTTTGTCTTTTAACTCTAGTACTGTTTATAGTTCATGACAATGGACAACTCGGGTGCCACTTTTTTCAGATTCCAGTGTGACGTGAGGAATTAAGATTTTGAAGATAAGCATATATATTACTATCTCTAAGTACTTAAAATGCCGTTCACACTTTATTACCAAGCATCTTGGTCTCTCATTCAACAAGTACTGTATCTCACTTTAAACTCTTTGGGAAGAAAAACAGAAAAGAAAAAAAAAAAAAAAACTAAGTTGCTTTCTTTCTTTTTTTTTTTTTTTTAAACACTGTAACTACATTTCAGCTCTGCAGAGTTTCTCACGGAGCAAGATGCTGAAAGTTTCAAAGTGGTTTCAAGGAATGAATGTGAATTATGAACTTGTATGTGACAGTGAATGACCACCAAGTAAACAGCCTGACAGGAGGCACTCTTCACTTTGATGTCTCAGAAAGGATTTAAAAAGCATATGCAGAGCTGGCAGAGGAACTGAGAGGGAAGGGATGGGGAAAAAAAAGAATACTCACTTTTGTCCAGTGTTTTTCTTTTTAAGACGAACTTTTAAAGAACCTTGCGATTTGCACATCTTGAGTTTATAAATTTGTGTGATATTCCTGCAGTTTTTATTCAATAACATTGTGGGAAAGGCTTGGGGGACTGAACGAGCATAAATAAATGTAGCAAAATTACTTTCTAACCTGCCTAAACTCTAGGCCTTTTATAAGATTATGTTCCTTTCAAGATTCATTTTTGGTCTTCTTACCGTATCTGTCACATAAAACCAGGTCTTAGCAGGACAACTCTGAGAATTTTCTTCAGATTCATTGAGAGAGTTTTCCATGAAGACATTTATATATGTGAGCAAGTTTGTTTTTTTTTTTTCTAAGAAAACAATTATTATTGTTGTTATTAATGTTATTTTCAAAATGACTTTCTTTTTCCATCTGAAATCAAGATTTAATGTTTGGTACAAACCCAGAAAGGGTCTTTCACAGTTGAGACCTTTTATCCCCAGAGATCTGAAATATTGTTTGTGGGTTTTGATTGTGCATTTTCAAGTGCTTAAAAGTTTTATAAAGGGAGAGAAATTTTTAAATATTCTTACTTGGAATGGCTGCAACGAATCTGAACAAATACCTGATTTTTCTTTTACCATTGAAAATAGTACTTTTTCCATTTCACAGATTTTTAAAAAATTCTCGTCAGCCCACATTCTGGCTTTCCAATATTCTTCGCATTTAGCTCTCAGCAGAACTGATGATTTTTCGAAACCATTTCTGGGGTGTACCAAAAACATTGGAATAGGTTTTGAACTGCTAGATCCAGTCCTTGCCTTTCTTCGGTTTTCATTACCCTCTCAGCATGCTAGCAGAGAGCTGAGTGAGTCCATTCTTGCAGTCATATTGCTTATTTAGTGCTGTATTTTTTTTAAACTTCTCTGTTCAGAGAACTTGCTTAATCTTCCATATATTCTGCTCAGGGCACTTGCAATTATTAGGTTTTGTTTTTCTTTTTTTGTTTTGACGGTAAGAGGAATACGGGGCTGCCATACAGACTGTCCTCATCAGTACCACTAACGACAGTGATTCACGTGGACTCAGAGAAACACCCACCACCTTTTGGCTTCTTTTGAGTATTGAACTAACCGGATCCACACCTCCAACACTAAAACGAGAAAACATGCGTGGTTTGGAGCAATAGGAACATCATCATTGTTTTTCGTGCTTCTGTTTCAGGTATAGGAATTATCGAAGAATCGGTTCTTTCTAAACATTGTCCCATTTACCTTCTTGCTTCTTTAGCGTGTGCAATACTTTCCGTGCCGATAGAGTCTGATCAGTGTGCGCTCTAGAGAAAGTGTAGGTAGGCCCCTCTTGGCTTTTTCCTTATTCTCTCCATCCTTTTCCTGTGCCGGCCAGAGAAGGACTGGAAGGAAGGAGCCAGGAAGGGGAGAGCCTCCTGCTGGGCGATTGCCCTGCTCCGGGAAGCCAAGGCCCCGGGGCAGGGAACTCTGGGGGGAGCCCCGCGTTTCCCTCGCCCTGTTGCGGAAAGGAGCAAACAAAAGAGATGGAAGGGAAGAACGCACTCTTCCCCCTCCTCACCGCGAGGAACAGTGGCACGCAGACAGGAAGGAGGCAGACTCATTTCTAAGGCGCACTCTGGAGCAATCGAGCCAGGATTAGCCCCTGTTCCACGGTCCTTTCCTCGAGTAGGTGCCCCCCCCCCCCCCAGGTCTGTGTCCTGGAGACTTGGAGCCGCGCCTCCTCCGAGCCTGGGCGGGAAGCGTGGTCCACCGCGTGCGCGCCTTCCGAGCCTCTGGCGCGGGTGGCTGCGGAGGGGCCGGGCCTCTTGCGGACAGTGGCCACCGCTCCTCTGTGGCAGCTCTCGCCTCCAAATAGGAAGGCCATCCGGAGGACAGGGGCCCTCCTGTCGTTGGCAGACGTGGGCAAGCCCCGAGGCCCCCAGAGCAGCCCAGTCACCGCGCCCGCGTAGCCCACCTAGCAGTGCCGGGCGTAGAAACCCTCCGGAGCCGCGCAGCTTGCGAGGAGCAGCCATGTGCCTCTGTACTGTGTCCACTTTGCAATATTTACCTAACCCATCTTTTGTTCCTACCCATTTTCCATTTTTAAACTAGTAACAGCAGGCCTTTTGCGTTTACAGTGGAACACAATCACCAAATTAGTCAGGGCGAAAAGAAAAAAACACACCAACAAACAAGGACCTCTCTTTCTAGGGATTTCTAAATATATAAAATGACTGTTCCTTAGGATGTTTCAACTTCAGAATTATTTCAGTTTGGGCCACATTGGGGGCGGGGCGGGGCGGCTAGAGAGATGGATACCACTTACCTCAAATCTTTTCAAGTGGAAATCCAAAATTGCTTTTTTCATTTGGATGTTCAGGATGATTTTCTATGTCGGTCCATTTTGTGTCTTTTCCAACTCACCCCCGTTTGTTTTGGGAGGAATGTTTTTTTTTCCCCCCCATTGCTGTCCTCAATCCCATTTCTCACCCTGAATCATGACCCTGTGTGTGTCCTGTTAGGTGAGCGCGTTGGGTTTTCTCGCCCACCGGGAAATGGCAGCACTCCTCCTCCCCCCAAGGAACTCTGCAGAACCTTTCACACCTCTAACTCAGGGACGGGGCTGGCGTGTGTGTGGTACACCGACGTGTCCAGACGCAGCACTTTGACTGTTCTGGGAGTAGGGTTGTACAACTTCAAGGAATGTTTGGATTTCCTGCATCTTGTGGATTTCTCCTTAGATACCACATAGATCGCAATATAATGCTGCATGTTCGAGATGAACAGTAGCTCCTAGAAATCATAAAATCCACTCTTTGCACATAGTTCGATCTTTACTGAAATATGTTGCCAAAATTTATTTTTGTTGTATAGCTTTGGAATTTTTTTTTTTTAAGGAAACAATTGACAATACCCTTCAACATCTGTGACTACTAAAGAAACCTGTTTCTTTCATGGAGAAAAAAAAAATCTCAAATGCTTTTGAAGACACTAAATGCCATGCTATTTCAGATCTGGGTGAAGAAGCAGAGCTCTGAGGACAGAAGGCCAGGCTTTTTGAGCTGTGTTGGTTGTCATGGCTACTGTTTGATGAACTGTAAGCAGCTCGACAAACCATGGTCCGTTTCCTCCTAAAACCCTTTGCACATCCTGTCTCCTAGTCACCCATGATAATCCCAGGTGAAAAAAGGGCCAGCAGTCTCTGTGGTCCAATCGTGCTTCTTCAGGGTGATGTGAAAGCAAGGGGAATTACACTGTGTGGCTTTTCAAGTGAAGCAGAAGTCTTTGCTTCCACCTTTGTTTTCAACCCAGAATTTCTGAAATAGAAAATTTAAGAACACATCCAGTAATAACTATACAGAGAACATACTTTTCTATAAAGCACATGCCTATGCCATTGTGTTACATTGGTTTCCTCTTTTTTTCTCCACGGACAGTGTTGTGTTTCTGTTGATAGGGGAACTCCAAACTGTTTGCACACCTCTACTCCGGAGCTAAGATTTCTTTTACATAGATGACCTCGCTTCAAATAAGTTACCTTAATGATAGGATCTTTTCTTGTAGCACTATACCTTGTGAGAATTTTTTTTTTTTTAATGTACACCTAATTTGAGAAGCTGAAGAAAAAAAAAAAACTTTGAAGCACTCACTTTGAGGAGTACAGGTAATGTTTTAAAAAATTGCACAAAAGAAAAATGAATGTCAAAATGATTCATTCAGTGTTTGAAAGATATGGATCTGTTGAAACAATGAGTTTCATACCTTGTTTGTAAAAAAAAAAAAAAAGTATAAAGGTTGAAAGTTACATGTTTTTTTGTATATAGAAATATGTCATGTCTAAATGATCAGATTTGTATGGTTATGGCCTGAAAGAATTACTACTTAAAAGGCTCTTCAACTATACCTATGCTTCCTCTAGGTTTTTGTTACATAGAACCCTCTTCTGAGAGAGAGTAATTCTGTATTTTGCAATTAGAGAATACTGTTCATTCCTATGCCAGAAGTACTTCTCTGAGCTCCCTTCTTAGTTTAAACTCTTTAAGCCATTGCAACTCCTTTTTCTCCAGAGATGATGTTTGACATTTTCAGCACTTCCTGTTCCAGTAAACCCAAAGAATATAATTCTGAACAAGAAGTGTTTGTAACAAGGGATCCTGGCTACCAAGAAAATGGGACTCATCACAAGGACACACACACACAAAAATGTTCAGCCTTCTCTCCCCCCCGACACCTCATTTCAATGGCAGGGGGGTGGGGGGGTTAAACAAGAATTTCAGTTGAGATGCCTCATTTCACATTGGTTTTATTTTGACTTTTTTTTTTCTTTACCATTAAGAGGCCAAAATTAATGTGGAGCAACTTCTCAGAAGTCATATTCTGTCCAGAAATCAAGCCAGCCAGCAGAAACTGGACAGCTGGCAGGGGAGGGGCAGGATGTTGAGCAGATCCCCCCTCCAATTCTTAAAATTCAGAATCTGAGCCCCTCCCTTACATTACACGCGATGTTTCTGGTAGCTGACATTCACCTGTACGATGGTGGGAGGGAACTGCAGCTTCAGTTTCTCATGTCCTCACGACTTGCATACAAATGGTTCAGCTGTATTAAAATTAAGTGCTTTTGGCCAATAGGTAGTAGCTCTCCAGTAACCTTCTCTTAAGGATTTCCGTCCCTTTTCTTACCTGAAAGGACTCCAGTCTTCCACTGCAGATAATTGGAGACTTCACCCAAGTTTTCTTTCCCTTTAGTTTGTTCATTTGCTGTCTGGGATGGCTGATGAGCCAGTCTCCTTTTCCATGGCCAGTCTGAAGGCCCCCTTTGGAAGTGCTGTTTACAGTCATCCTTGCCGAGGTAACAGTAACTGTCCTCTGGAATAAATGGCAAGTCTGAACGGTTACCAAGCTGGGTGTGTAGGTTTTCTCTGGTTCCTAACTCGAACCGCCTACTCTTCAATTAATCCAGTTCAGGAGTGGGGTGATTCTTTATTGTCAGTGAACATTAAACTTGATACCTGTGTGCATCAGTTCTGTGAATACTGCCCTTTTGGCCTTTTAGGGGAGGTTTTTTTTTCCTCCTCAGCCTTCACTGTTCCCTGTATACCCAAATTAGTGTCAGCTGAAAGGCTCCAGCAGCGCCCTGCCAGTATTTTCTGGTGGCCTTTGGTTAAGACAAGAGTCCTAATTTCTAGCCAGTGGGGTCCTGGTCCCGGGGCCATCTCTGAGAGTCACACTGATGTTGTTTTTCTAATATCAGCTCACGACCTACCAACCTTCCAATCGTACGCCTCCCACCGGCCAAGGAAAGAGAGACACCAGAACTTTGAGGGCACTATCAGACTGACATGGCCAGTACAGAGGAGAACTAGGGAAGGGATGATGATTTGCACCTTATTGAAAAGAAAAATTTAAGTGCATACATAGTTAAGAGCTTTTATTGTGACAGGAGAACTTTTTTCCATATGCGTGCATACTCTCTGTAATTCCAGTGTAAAATATTGTACTTGCACTAGCTTTTTTAAAACAAATATTAAAAAAAAAAAATGGAAGAATTCCTATTCTATTTTCTAATCGTGGTGTGTCTATTTGTAGGATACACTCGAGTCTGTTTATTGAATTTTATGGTCCCTTTCTTTGATGGTGCTTGCAGGTTTTCTAGGTAGAAATTATTTCATTATTATAATAAAACAATGTTTGATTCAAAATTTGAACAAAATTGTTTTAAATAAATTGTCTGTAAACCAGTACAAGTTTATTGTTTCAGTATACTCGTACTAATAAAATAACCGTGCCAATTGCAAATGTGTCTGTGCGTGTGTCAGGTCCTCGGAAACTAGGGAGGCTGAGGAAGTGGTGGTCCTTCTTCCTTCTTGATCCACTGTGATCCCTGGGTAGGTTTGTGGTGGCAAGGGTGACATAAGGCTTTGCCTTTCTTACTAATTTGGGGGAGTGGGAAGAAGGTCCATCGTGCTTGAGATGAGAATCAGATAAAAGGCAGGTTTCAACATCTGATGTTTCAGTTTGTTCCATTTGTTTCTCCTCTCGGCACACTGCTGTTTTTACAAGAGATTTTTTTTTTTTTTTTTTGCTTCTTAGCAGTATTTGGCATCTTTGTGAGCTCGTAGCATTATCGATATGTTTCTGTATGCTTTGCTGCACACTGGTTAATGGTCTGAAGGTGGAAAGTTCATCTGTGTTTCTTGGAGTTCACGCCTGTTTTTGCATGGTGCCCGCTCTCAGATGGAGGAGGCTTGGCAGTTGCCCCAGAAGGGAATTCCTCCAGGACCCAGTCAGGTAAGGCCCTCTGCCTGCATCTGCACGTGTGGCTGTCCAGTCCTTCCAGCCTTCAGGTTCTGCAGCGCTGGAAGAGAACTCTTGGCGTCCAGTTTAGCGTTGTTGCTTATCCCAGGCAGGGACGGGTATCTCCTTTCTGGTTAGTCATCTTGCTTCGGTGTATGGGGACATCTCACCAGGACTCTGCTGTTAGGCCTGCGGCATCGAGGTCCTGTTGTACTAAGAATGCTAGTGTGAACGAATGTTGGTGTGTAAATTAGTGATGCACTGAGACTTGAAACCCAGACAACAAGGCTGTCCAAGCCCTCGTCCTCCAGAACAGTCTGGGCAGACGTGGACCGCTCTGGTGCAGCAGTCTGAACCGCCGCCTGCTCTACCATTGTTAATAGTAGCTGCTAATGGTCCTGACAAGTCTGGGTTCCAAGAGCTTCGAGTCGTACCTGAATCAGTCCGGTTGATGAGAGGAAAGTCCTTGCTTTGCAGGTGGTAACGAGGTCAACCTTGAAACCACCAGGAGCCTACAGTGCACAGGAAGCCGTGTCCACTCAGCAGGTCTGAGGGTGTCCAGGGTAGGCTCCCCCACGCCCACCGCTACTGGAGGCAGGGATGAACCTGCAGAGGGCCAGGGAGCCTTAGAAGTGAAGCCTCTGCTTCAACATGGTCCTGATGAGGTTCTGGCTTCTGCAATCATGTTTTCACTTCCCTAAAAACCAGGTGAGGGAGGAACCTGCCTCACTCCCCTTGGTGGAAACAGAGCGGGTAGTCTGGAAAGTCTTTGCACAAGATGGATAAAGCAGGCACACGTCCTCACGGATATGACTGGACAGCCCCAAGCGAGACAGGAGTATGAAGAATGCTGTTCTGGAAGTTTCCTGACTACCTTACTGGCAGTCCCTTTTTAAGAGCTTTCTAAGACTTCTCCTCTACTTCTTTCCCTTCTCTTGCCATGAAGGATCTCTTAAAACTAATGAACTCAAGGGCTCAAGTGTAACACACATCTACCACAGGTACAGGGGTTCACAACTCAGACAACCAGGCAGAAAAGGTGGGGTACCTCTAGCAGCAACGCACATCCAGCTAGAGGTTCAGTATCCTTCAGACCCTCATCTCAAGTGTGTGGGCATTCGTGTTCCTATAAGAATTATTCTGGGTGGATTTAGGAGGAAAACGTATTACCACGGAGCTCAAGTTGCTGGATTTTTAAATGTATTCTTCTAAGACTGTGAGACTGGACCATAAAGAAGGCTGAGTGCTGAAGAACTGATGCCTTCAAATCATGATGCTGGAGAAGACTCCTGAGAGTCCCTTGGACAGCAAGGAGCTCAAACCAGTCAATCCTAAAGGAAAACCACCCTGAATATTCATTGGAAGGACTGATGCTGGAGCTGAAGTTTTCCAATACTTTGGCCACCTCATGCGAAGAGCTGACTCACTGGGAAAGACCCTGATGCTGGGAAATATTGAGGACAGGAGAAAAGGGCGACAGAGGATAAGATGGTTGGATGGCATCACTGACTCAACAGACATGAATCTGAACAAACTCCGGGACATAGTGAAGGACAGGGAAGCCTGACGTGCTGCAGTCCTTAGGGTCACAAAGAGTCGGACACAACTGAGCAACTGCATGAACAACAAAGACTATAAATTCAGGCCTGTAAGTCCCTGGAGTGTGGTGATTTGTTCGGATTCCTCATACATGGTCAGTCACCATGAACATCAGACTGTTAATTCGCTCTCACACAGCAGGAGTGAGTGGCTCCTCTCTCCTCCAGGGCCGTCACTTGTCTCTTCAAAGAAAAATTAACTCCTGTATCTGCTTCTTTAGCCTCATTTAAAAGGAAATAAACATCCTGGGCTGCATACACTTCCCAATCCTAATACTCAATGCTTCAAAAGAAGTGGCCGGTCGTCATTAATGCATGAGGGTTCACTGTTTAGACAAGTGTCACAGTGCACTGGGGTGGGACTCCCACCAAGGCCGTGAGTCTTTTCTCCAAGAAGGTACAAATGTCATCAATGAATGAATGGACCCTTAGACAGCAGCGCCCATGGTCCCTCCTGAAGAGTATGCATCACTGTGATGAGCGGATGCTTCTATCTCCGATTCCAAACCAATGTCAAGGCTTCAGCTGCTTTTCAGTGGATAACCTTGAAAGATCCCTGGAACTTCTTCAAAATAATATGTTATCTCTTTGACAGAGAGGAGGAGAGGGAAGAGATGGAGGAAAATGAACCAAACGAAAACCCAGGACAAGACTAGAAACAGCATGAGCACAGTGACAGAGGACCCGTCCCCTAAAGGCATGTGTAAGAGATGTGGCAGAAGTGTGTCCCCGCACCTTGGGGACACCTGCAGGAAACCAAGTTCACCTGTCCAGTTGATTGCTCTCATTCTTCTGCAGCATCTGTGAGCTGGATGGAGGAGGGGCTGGTTCCTCTGGTTGCGGCCCCCTCCCCCTGCCCCTCTGCCTTTCCCACCCAGGTACCTTGACCACCAAGAGCCAATTATGGGAAGGAAGCAGAAAACCCCCAGCTCCCCCAACAACTTGGTCCTGTAAATGCAAACTCCAGCACGCAAGCAAGTCTTCGTAGCATTATATTAAAGTGAAACCATTTTCTTTAAAAAAAAAAAAAAGAAAAGAAAAAGGCGTGAATATTAGTTTCAACAATGAGGTTACACATTCCGGGCAGGTAAGCTCCAACCGCTAACCCTCTGAGTGCCCGACTTCTGGGCCCCTCGACCTAGGGGAGTCCTGTGGCCTCCAGGTGATGGGAGGAGAAGAAGGGGCAGCCCCCACACCCCAGGACCTGCTGGAACCTCTGCCCTAACACGAGGAGATGGAAAAGCAGGCGTGTGTGGACGCCTCCACTGGCCGGAGGTGGCCTCGTCCTCGTCCTCGGGGTTAGCTGAACACGGTGTTGTGTTGCTGGGTCACTCGGATGAACGTGGCCCTCCGGCTGAGCTCTTTGAGTTTGGCGGCCCCCACGTAGGTGCAGGTAGACCTCAGTCCCCCAAGAATATCCAGAATAGTGTTCTTGACGTCCCCTTTGTAAGGCACTTCCACAGTCTTGCCCTCAGAGGCTCTGGAAGAAAAAGGAGGTATTTGTTTCAGTCTGGTTCTTTTCCCTGAAGTACCCAGCCAGGATCCCCAGCTTTGGCACTTGAACCCACCCCAAGGCACTCGGGCGGCTGCATGCCACCCTCTGATCTGACCCACGCTGGGAGGACCTTGGCCTTGCTGCACATGCCACGTGGGTCAGGCCAGCATCTCGGGTGGACACACTCCTCCCACCCAAGACGCACAGCCTGGCTGCTGACTGCCCAGAGTGCCGGGAACACAAAGTCTCCATCAGCAACTCCTGGAAGAGTCACAGACCCGGCCAGCACCCCACCACCTCCTGCAGGTACACCAATCCTTCCATCAGAAACCAGCCCCACCTTTCCATCCTCCGCTAATCCGTACACAGGCCTCCACCTGACCCAGAGTCCAGAACACCGGCGGGGTGGGGGAACAGACCTCCTAGCACAGCCTCTCCTGCTGGCCCGCCCTAACCAATAACAGAACAAGCCCAGTGTGTCCCCTTCCCCCGCACCCCTGCCAGCCCTCCAGTCGGCATTAGACAGAGCATCTTCACAGGAGATGATCGAGAGAGGAAGAAGGGACAGAGAAAATGGACAACTGGGCACTGCGAGGTTACGTAGAAACCTCCACGAGTGAGGTCAGTGTCTCCACTCACACGGCCTTTGTTGAGCACCCCTCGGCTTACCTTCCTGTGTGTCTGCACAAATCCCCATGCCTAGACGTGGTGTGGGGCCTCTGCAAGGTGGACCCAGAGCAGAACTAAGGACCTCCTCAGCACCCAAGGCATTGGTGAGCATCCTTCACGTTTTCTGGGTGACGCTCAGAAATTCAGGTCTGGCTCATGGCACAAACGTTAAACCACATCTAACTGTCCTTCTGAGTCCTTGTCCCACTCTTCCTAAGGCCACCAAGCAACACTGCCAGATTCCGCGTCACACCCCCTTACTGCAGGTTTTAAAGATACTATCTAGACTTGGGTTAGAAAGGGCATTACAAGAAGGGAATCTCCAGTCCATGCAAAACTAGCCCCCATCCAAGGGTCAGGAAACCTGGAAATTCTAGTGAAAGTCACTCAGTCGTGTCCAACTCTTTGCCACCCCATGGACTATACAGTCCATGGAATTCTCCAGGCCAGAATACTGGAGTAGGTAGCCGTTCCCTTCGCCAGGGGATCTTCCCAACCCAGGGATTGAACCCAGGTCTCCCACATTGTGGGCAAATTCTTTACCAGCAGACCACCAGGGAAGGCCAGGAATACCGGAGAGGGTAGCCTTCCCTTCGCCAGTGTATCTTCCCGACCCAGGAATCAAACCAGGATCTCTTGCATTGCAGGCGGATTCTTTACCAACTGAGCTACGAGGGAAGCCCAAACAATTTACCAAATACTGGAACTTTAGCTGGTCTCTTCACATGAAAAACCAGCATCTCTTGATCAAAAAGTCATTACCTAGAATTTCAAAAGGGTATTAACTCTTGTGCATTGAAATCTACACATGGAAGACTACCCTCAGGTAAGATCTAGCAATTTAAACCATTGACCAGAACAAGACAAGGATGTCCACTCTCGCCACTGTTAATCAACATAGTTTTCAAAGTCCTAGCCTCTGCAATCAGAGAAGAAATAAAAGGAATCCAAACTGGAAAAGAAGATGTAAAACTGCAGATGACATGATGCTAACATAGAAAATCCTAAAGAGGCCACCAGAAAACTACTGATATTAATCAATGAATTTGGCAAAGCTGCAAAATACGAAATTAATGCACAGAAATCTCTTGCATTTCTATACACTAACAATGAAAGATCAGAAAGAGAAATTAAGGAAATGATACCATTTTACCATTGCAACAAAAAATGAAAATACCTTGGAATAAACCTACCTGAGGCAAAGACCTTTCCTCGGGTAAAGAAGAACAGTATGGAGGTGCCTTAAAAAACTAAAAGTAGAGCTACCCTATGACCCAGTAGTCCCACTCCTGGGCATATACCAGAGAAAAACCTTAATTCAAAAAGATACATGCACTTCAGTGTTTACTGCAGCACTATTTACAACAGCCCAGACATGGAAGCAATCTAAATGTCCATCAACAGAGGAGTGGCTACCGATGTGGTACATATACAGAATGGAATATTGCTCAGCCATAAAAAGGAATGAAATTGTACAACATGCAAAAACATGGACAGACCTAGAGACAGCCATACAGAGTGAAGTCAAGTCAGAGAAAAACAAATATGTAATAACATATATGTGCAATCTAGAAAAATGGTAGAAAGGAACTTATCTGCAAAGCAGAAACACAACATTGTAAACAAACAACTACAGTCCAATAAAAACTAAGGAAAAAAAAAACAAAAACACAACCCATCGACCAGACCAAGGGCTGGCCTAGTGGCTATTTTACAGCACTGAGTTCATGAAGCCGGTCACTGGTCACATCCAAGATGACTGATACTGCTGTATTCTGTGACCACAGACCAACATGTGCATAATGCGCCAGAAATGATGACCATTTCATCTTTTAATAAACATTTCCATGGCCTCTCCAGGCTTACAGACACCCTCCAGATCCGCAACATCACTTCTTCTCTAAGTGGCGATGATACCTTTTGCAAGTCATTTATCATTGACACCCAAGTCTTCTCATCTGTAAAATGAAGGGCTTTGATGTTTCTCCCAAGGACAGGGTGAGAACTAAGTGGTTAATGACTGGGAAGGAACTAGCAAAGCATAAATAACTCTGACGTAATTAAATACAATGTCAAAGTAGGAGAACCAGTCTTAGGAGGAGATCAGATGGTGGGGGGCGGGGGGGATGCAAAGACACAACACCGATGCAGCCTAGAGGGCCCACGCTGCCTCTTGATTATGCTTCTCACTCCTTCAGCACTTTCCTTCTGTGTCTAAGATTTGATTGAATCTACTTCCGGAAGTGAGTCTTGGTACTCCTGAATCTATTTTCTGTTTTGTCTAAAACCTGCTGGAATCACAGAAGATGGTTTTTTGTTCAGCTCCTTGGTTTCTGTTCATGCTCTAGCCTGGTCCGGCCTTCCCTACCTGCTTTTCTCAGAAACCCAAAACAGATGCAGTGGCTAGAGGGCAAAAAAAAGTCCTCCAGGCAAAGCATTTGGCTGTCACACAATCGCAATGGCTCCTCTCCCAGACCAGCACAGGGGAGAAGGCACAGGCCCTTGAACAATGGTCCTAGTAAAGCATTAAGCTGCTTGGCAGAGGTTCAGGTCGAAGGGGAGGCAGTAAACCCCTTTCTCTCTCTCCCCCGACACTGTCTGGCCTCCTCCACCAGTCATCACACAGGAGAAAGAGGCTTTTGGAGGCTGCATGGGACAGGGTGTCCCTCTTGTCCTAAACTGTCTGCAGCTTCTAGGATGAAGATATGAATGTAGCCCCCGGCTCCTCATTTCCACCCCACTGTCCCCATAACTACAACGTCTTTTCCTTATTGAGATTCCCCCCAAAAGAGAAAAAGACTGCAAAGAAAGAGGAGTGGAGTTAGACTACCAGTACCCAAGGAACACAGCTCTGGTGGGGGACCCCACCCCTCCCACCAGCCTGCCCACCTGAAATATCTCAATGACTGAATTGTGTACCTTGAGCTTGCCTCAGGCCTTACATAATGCATCCAAATCCCACATTCTCATGAAAGCTTTTGGGTGTGGAATAAGTGGTAGGAAATGGAGGGTATCGGCCCATGGCAGGTGGCCTGAATTCCCATCCTTCTAAGGATTCAGGAGCTCCTGTCCTGTCCACGTGGTGCGGCTTGTCATCACTGCCAACTCTGATGAGAAGCAATGGCGGACTCTACGGAGCAGGGCGAGGTGGTGAGTAAATTCTGCCACAACGTTCTTCAAACACATGTACACACAATTAAAACGGAAGTGGAACAGATAAGCAGACGTGAGCATCCCTTCCACAGACTGATATGATTAAATGCCTACAAATGCGGCCTGTGTCAACTGTCCAAGCCTGTAGGCAAGGGCGAGTCCTATGGGAGCTGCTGCAGGTGACGCAGGGCATTCTTCCCCAAAGGTCTGACCGCCGTGAGGGGGTCTCACCCACCCCATCTCACATGCAGGGGGAGACCCATCCTTCCACCTGACTCATGCCAGGCCCCACAGGTGTTCTCTCAGGACAAGGCTGGGACATTCCGGCCTAACCCCCTGGAAGCCTAGCTGGTCCCCTCCAGGGCTGGCTGAACAAAAATTCTGGCTGTTTTGAAAGAGGCCAAGATGGGTTTTCTAATCAAAGATGACACAAATAGATGGAAAGAAACCACGTTCTTGGATTGCAAGAATCAATACTGTCAAAATGATTATACTACCCAACGCAATCTACACATTCAATGCAATCTCTATCAGATTAGCAACGGGCATTTTTCACAGAACAACAACAAAATTCTTACAATTTGTATGGAGACGCAAAAGATCCCAAACAGCCAAAGTCATCTTGAGAAAGAAAAAGGAAGCTGGAGGAATCAGGCCCCCTGACTTCAGACTATACTATATACAAAGCTACAGTTATCTAAACAATATGGTACTGGCACAAAAACAAATGTAGGTAAATGGAACAGGACAGCAAGCTCAGAAATAAATCCACACACCTATGGTCAATTAATCTATAACAAAGGAGGCAAGACTCTAAATGGAGAAAAGACAGCCTCTTCAATAAATGGGGCTGGGAAAACGACAGCAAAATGTAAAAAAAAAAAAAAAAAAAAACCCCAGAACATTCTTTAACATCATACACAAAAAGAAACTCAAAATGGATTTAAGACCTAAATGTAAGACCTGATACTATGAAACTCAGAGGAAAACATAGGTAAAACTCTTTGACATAAATCACAACAGTATCTTTTGATGCATCTCCTAGAGTAACAGGAGTAAAAATAAATGGGACCTAATTAAACTCAAAAAAGTTTTTGCACAGCAACGGAAACCATAAAATGAAAAGACAACCCACAGAATGGAAGAGATTATTTGCAAATGATGGCAACTATCAAGGGATTACAATTCTCCACAATTTACAAATAGCTCTTGTGGCTCAATATTAGAGATCACCTCACACCAGTCATAATGGCCATGATCAAAAAGTCTACAAAGAGTAAATGCTAGAAGGGGTGTGGAGAAAAGAGAGCCCTCCTACACTGTTGGTGGGAATGTAAACTGGTACAGCTACTACGGAAACAGTAAGGAGACTCCTTAGGAAACTAAAAATGGAGCTGCATGATCCAGCCCCACTCCTGGACACATATCTGGGGAAAAACATGGTTCTAAAGGATACATGTACCCCTGTGTTCACAGAAGCTCTGTTTACAATAGGCAGGACACGGAAGCATCCTAAATGTCAACAGATAAATGGGTAAAGAATATGTGGTACATATATAACATGTACACAATGGAATATTACTCAGCCCTTAAAAATGAAATAATGCCATTTGCAGCAACATGGATAGACCTATGAAGAAGTATATCATATGATACGGCTTCTATACACAATCTAGAAAGAATGATACAAATGAATTTATGAATAAACTTACGGTTACCAGGAAGGAAGATGGGGGGACAGACTCAGAGTCTGGCATTGACATGTACACGCTGCTATGTTTAGAGCAGATAAGCAAGAAGGACCTACTCTATAGCACAGGGAACTCTACTCAATATTTTGCAATAACCTATAAGGAAAAAGAATCTGAAAAAAAAATGTATACGCATGTACAACTGAATCACTTTGCTATACACCTGAAACTAACAATGTTGTAAATCAACTATACCTCAATTTAAAAAAATGTAAGCCATACAGTTATTTAATTAAATATCTTAATTTTAAAAATGTTTCCCAGGCCTTTCCCATGGTACCATAATATAAAGAGACTCGTATTCTTTGAGACCTACTTGCATCCCCCAGGTCTCCCACATTGCAGGTGGATTCTTTACCAGCTGAGGCACTAGGGTAGTTTAAGAATCCTGGAGTGGGGAGCCTATTGCTTCTCTAGGGGATCTTCCCAACCCAGGAATCAAACCAGGGTCTCCTGCATTGCAGGCGGACTCTTTACCAGCTGAGCGACAAGGGAAGCCACAATAATATAAACAAACTTGCACTCTTTGAGACCTACTTCTATCCCACTTCTATAAGAATCAAGGGAATGTAACCTCACCAGTGATGGTGCTGTACCCACTCCCCATCCCACCCCCACATACCTATACTCCGCGACCCCTCCTGAGTGTTTCTTCATTGCCGTCTCTGAGCTCATCCCATAGAACAGCTTGAGCTTCTGTCCGTTCCTCTCGATCACCTCTCCGGCACACTCAGTATGGCCCGAAAACATTCCTCCCAGCATGACAAAATCTGCTCCAGCTCCTGCACCCCAAAGTGGGGACAAAAAGCAGCAGCAGAGAAAAGGGTCAGGGAAAAGTCAGCTCCAGAAAGATGCAAGTACTACCAACTCCCCCTCTCTCCTCCTGGTTATAGCGAGAAAAAGCCCAACGTCCCCACTCAGGAAAAAAAGTTAAAGGCAGACAGGCACCAGACATTCTGAGCAACACAGCCTACTGAAGCTTGGTGACTAATACACTGAGAAATCCTTAACGGTTATTGTTGACTTTCTATGACCAACGTCCACAGGTCTAACTGTGTTAAAATCAGAGGAACATTAGAAGTGAGCAGCACCTCAGCGTGTTTTCCAATCTCATACTTAATGCAATAAGTACTCTGCCATGTCCCCATCGGGCATCTGGTCTACATGAAGGTCTCAGCACACTCACACTCTGTATAGACATAAAGGGACCTCAGAAGAGACAGAACTTCCTCCCGAGAGCTTGGGCTTGAAGGAGAGAAATCTGTATGTACATATATGTATATGTCTGTGCATTTGTGTGTACACATGTGTATGTCTGTGTACATCAAACACATATACACACATATATCTATAGATATATCCTGTAAAACTCGACTCACACCTCTGTTGTGATAACCATTTGACTTCTAGAGTAAACAACACCCCATATAAATCACCGAATGACATGAAACTTCCAGGACAGGTACAGAGGAGACTGGGGGTGTTGCAGCTGCCTTTGAAGGTTATGTTGGATCCAAACCAGGAGCGGTAGGACCAGGCCTGGCTCACTGCTCTGTCCTCAGTGTTTATCACAGCACACAGCAGAGGTGGCGTGACTAGTTATCAAGAAAGTAGAAGGCATACATGGAAGAAATAGAAATAGTCACCGTTTGCCATCCTGACCAGTCCTACTGAGGGTTTACATTCAGAATCGGAGGATATCAGAGTACAGAAGTGTTACACAACCAGGATGAAGGATCAGAAGCAGCAAGCACAGACTCCCCTAAAAAGTGGCCTTGACCGCTTCCAGCTGGTTGCTTAAATATCTGCAAGAGGACTTCAAGGTGTGCATCAGGTGTTCCAGGCCCTTCCGTCCAGCATCTCGGAAGGCCGGCTCTGCAAGGCTGGACCCTGGGCCTGGCAATCAGGCAAGCACGACACAGGGCCTCTCGACTTGGCAGCAAGCATTGACGGCTTCCCTGCAGGGTCCCCAACACAAATGCCAGCTCCTCGGTCCCCCTGCCAGGATGATAAGGGGGCAGGACAACTGGTGTCCGGTCAGGCCTCCTGATGACCACCACTCGGGCTTCCAATCACGTCCCTTTCTGAACGCTTCTGTGTCCTTTCCCAACCAGCATTTTTTCCCAAAGTGGTTCCTCTCTGACAGAAGGCATGGCTACATTTCCTGGAATGGGGGTGGGGGGTGCAGGCAACGCTTCAGAGCTGGAGTCCAGAGACCACTCTGCGCAGAACACCCCTCAGTGTTCAGTCCCTGCGGCTGAAAACCCCACAGGAGAGACGTCCTTGGCTGCTGTGATCCTTATTATAAGAGGCGAGTGAACAAACCAGTGGAGCAGGAATCCCGACTCCGCCCCCGAGTGCAGGACCCTTACCTCGCCTCTGGGGGCCTCCAGCCCCTGTTCTCCAGGGTTGCTACAAAACCTAACTGCTAAGAACACTGCCCTGTATTGTCACGAGCAGCGTTCGAAAAAACAATTTAAAAAAAAACCATTTTAGATAATTTAGAATTATCTAAATATTTAGATGAAATTCTAAAAATTTAGAATTATCTTAATATTTAGAAAAAATAATTTTAAAAATGAACTTAAGACGTTCTACAGGCTGAACCGAAACAGCGATAAAGAAGGACAGGAGGGGATGTCACTGCTTACAGGTCAGAGGAGGGGTGCCCAAGGCAGAAAAGTTCCCTCCAGTGAAAAAGAAAAAATAAACCAGCAGCAAACCCGGTCCTGTCATCAGGAAAGGAGGGAGTGGCTGCCTCCAGCTGGTACACCTCACAGCTGTGGACCGCAGTTGGCAAAGGTTCAGTGGCGGGCACAGGGCACAGCCCGCAGAGACTCTGGATGGCCCCGTGCCTTCCCAAGAAAACACCTGGCCAGCCAGGCCTCGTGGTCCAGCCCCACCAGACCACAGCCGGACGCTGCTGCCCCCTAGTGGGAAACAGGCTTCTCAGCATCTGGCTTGTGAAACTGCGGCTGGGATTTCAGTCCCTCCCTGGGGATATTAACCCCAGGTTAGGCTCCAAACACCCGCTCGCTGAAGTTCGGGGGGGCATCAGACCTGGTACAGTCCTCTTCCAATGAGTCCCCTGAGCCTTCTCTGCCACCAGCTAGAACCAAACGATGCCAGGATGTGGGCCAATCAGAGGCTGAGATCCAGGGAGAGGAAACTCAGGATTGGCCCCAATCCTCTCCCAATGTGTCTGCCCCCTCCCTCCGGCACCCCCGCGGGGAGCTCCCCCCTCCCTGCACGCTCCCTCCCCTCCACGGCCTCTTACCAAAGGCTTTGGCGACATCTCCTGGACACGTGCAGCCTCCGTCCTTCAAAAAGGGGAAGAGCAAAGAGAGGAGGTCAGTGGGAGCTTGTCCAGGCCATTCCCCGCAGTCCCCCATCTCCGCAGGGGGAATGAGATGGTATCTGCTGGCCTTGCCCTGTCCATCCACCTCACCTGCAGACAAGCACGCAATCAGCAGAGCCCAGGCCCAACACTCCCCTTGTAACGAAGCTAGACCGTGCGGGTACCTCTGTCAAGTTTATGATTAACCTCCTTCTCTGAACTTTTATTCCTTTTCTTGTTCAAAAACTTGTTCTCCTCAAGACTGAGGAGTATCAGAAAAAAAGAGAGGAACTGCAACCCAGCAGGACCCCATGGGGCCCTTCCTGGGAGACAGGCCTTCCGGGGTATTGTCTGCTCAAGCTCCTCTCTGAAGTACCTAGATAATAGCATTTGATGCACAGTTCCTGAGTTGCTTTGCAGATATGAAAGTGAAAAGTGAAAGTGTTAGCTGCTCAGTCGTGTCCAACTCTTTGTGACTCCGGGGACTGTAGCCTGCCAGGCTCCTCTTGGCCATGGACTTCTCCAGGCAAGAATACTGGAGTGGGCTGCCATTCCCTTCTCCAGGGGATCTCCTGACCCAGGGATTGACCCCAGGTCCCTTGCATTGCAGGCAGATTTTTTACCATCTGAGCCACCAGGGAAGCCCCTATTTGATGCACAGTTGTTGAGTTGCTTTGCAGATATGAAAACCCACCACCAAACAGATGTTAACTACTCTATTAATATCTGATGACCATGAGCACACAGCCCCAGGCCTCCTGGAACCTAAGGACTGATAACATGAACCCCTGCGACATCACCCTGTTCCCTCACCATCAACCAATCAGATAATTGTGTACAAGCTGATCACATGACCCTGCAATCTCCGCCCTCCCCACCCCAAGTTGGCTTTTAAAAGTGCTTTGCCAAAACCCTTCCAGGAGCTTAGGGGTTTTTTTCGGGCATGAGCCACTGTCTCTTTGCATGGCCCTGCAATTAACCTTTCTCTGCTCCAAACTCCAATGTTTCAGTTTGTTTGGCCTTTCTGCATCAGGCACTGCAACTTGTGCTAATACCCTCACCACTGCACCTGCCATTCCCAGGCCCCATCAGTCATGTTTCAGGCCAGTAGACCCCCGCTCCCCCACCGGGCATCAGTACTCCACTTAGGATGCAGGAACCACTGAGCAGGCAGGACCGGGGGGCTGGACCTCATCTCCACCAGCCCCTGCACAACATGGCTGGCCACTGGCCAGCCCCATGTAACTATCATTCAGTCATCACCTCTCCCCGCTGCCCGGCATGAAGTGAGATTTATTTAGCACAAGAGCACAAGTATTTTATGAGCCACAAAGGACACTGAATTTGCTCTTTTATATTTTGAGCCTCGTGTCTCCTGGTCACTTTCTTATAAGGTCCCCAGTTTCCTTCAAGTCAAACCTAGGCTCCCGACACCCACGTGACCCACAGAGCACCCTGCACTGGTTCAGTGCCTGTCACCGTGGGCTGCCGGCACAGTCTGGCTGTGGGGGTTATGTTTCAACACCAGGGACCCAATACAAAACCACAGGACAAAACCTACTGGGTTTGCTTACAAGCCCGAGGCACAAAATAACCAGGCTGCTACCTGCTGTTGGCAGTGTGGCCTGTGTGAGGTCCGAGGAGGAAAAGGCCAGCCACGGGGCCTGGGGCAGCTGCCCACCCAACAGAGAAAGGCAGAGAAGCAGCGGCCCTGGGAATCCAGGTCAGTGCTCAGATGCAACGTGACAGAGCCCAGGGCCGGTCTTGGAGGGAAGTGCCTGTCACCAGGAGAGGGGACCCACTTTGGGAAGGATGCAGAAGACCCAGGCCACCCGAGCTACCCACGTGGTGATGGCAGGAAGGTGGAGGGCATCTCCATGGAACTGAGAGGAACAACTTTACAAACAGCGTCTCTAACTGAGGACGTGGGTCCCTGTGACTCAGTCCTCCTTTTCCGATCTGCTTTTAAGCCTGTCCTTCCAGGAGCTAGACCTCAAACACTCAGTTCAGTTGCTCAGTTGTGTCCAGCTCTTTGCAGCCCCATGGACTGCAGCACGCCAGGCCTCCTGTCCATCACCAGCTCCCAGAGCCTACTCAAACTCATGTTCATCGCATTGGTGATGCCACCCAACCATCTCATCCTCTGTTGTCCCCTTCTCCCCCTGCCTTCAATCTTTCCCAGCATGAAGGTCTTTTCAAATGAGTCAGTTATTCGTATCAGGTGGCCAAAGTATTGAAGTTTCAGCTTCAGCATCAGTCCTTCCAATGAATATTCAGGACTGATTTCCTTTAGGATTGACTGGTTGAATCTCAAACACTGCTTCATTGCAATTCTGATCAAAAGGCAGGGGTGGGGATTCAATCTCTTGTTTTTATGAATATTTACTGACTGCAATTACCTCCTCCATCAAGTGCATCACTCATGTCTGGCTTTCCTGACCCCAGAGGACTATGGGGTCACAAGCAAGGATTTATTTCAGAGGTAGGCTCTCCATAAAAGGGATGTGGCCATAGCCCTTCATGTGAATACAGTCACATACACAGCCGTGTGTCCGGCTGGTGCTTCAAATTTCCCGCATATTTTTACTTTATCTTTTTTTATTTTTTTAAAAATTTTTTTAACTTTCTCTTTCAAAGGTGCAACCCCTCTATGCCCTTCACTTGACTTGCCAATTATTTTTAAATTGCTTTATCTTTTTATCAAAACCAGTTCTCCACAGTAGGGTTTCAAACTTATAACCTCAAAAGAATAAATAGGGACTGGCCCTGGCAGTCTAATGGTTAAGACTCCCAAGCCATGGGTTTGATCCCTGGGTGGGGAACTAATGTCCCATATGCCATGCAGTATGGCCAGAAAAAAAAGAAGGTTAAATAAACTCATGCTTCCAATAAAAAGGTCCCTAGCAGGGTCTGACTTAAAAGATGTGTACACACCTGCGCACACACACACACACAAAAGCGTATTCTTAAGTCTTAATTCACTTGTGAATAGTTTGTGACTGCTCATGCAGGCTTCTGCAAATGTCACACCTGTGTGGTCAGTGATGAGGCCTGACTCAGAAAGCCTGTGCTCTAGGGACCCCCAGAGAACAAGCTCTTCTCCTCCCAGGATGTACACAGATGTTAAGATGTCCACAGTTAACAGGACTTCATGATGTGCCTGGGAGAGGAAACCATACATAGCACCTCGTCTACTCACTGTGTCAGGGTGGGATTTATGAAATAGGCAATGCACGGCCAAAAGGCAGGACTACAGTTTAACCCAGTGCAACCCAACATCACGTAACGCCTTAGGGCAAAGGAGTCTGCCCCCAACTACATTTACAGGTAACCTCCAAAGGAGGGTCAAAGCATCCTTCATGCTCTCAGGAGACAGAGACATGCATTTCCTTTCATACATGAACACACACACTTGCAGGGGAAAAAAACCACATGCAAATATTTCAAGGGTTACTTGTTTTCCAAGAGTGTTGAAGTATTTAAGTAGAAAGGGTTTCACATGACATGAGTGGTGATTCAATCTGTGAACTGTCAGCATGTCCTCTTCTTAAAAATACCTGCCCAGCCCTAAAAGAAGAGGCAGTGAAAACAAGCGTGCAGTGGACAGAGGGGACTAAATCAAGCACCGACTATGAACAAGGGGTTCTTACAAATTTCATTTCTCTATTCAAACACCACAAGTACCAGAGGCTGATATTTTGTAGGTGGGGAAAAACAAAGAGGGAGGCTCAGAAAGGTGGAGTGACTTGTTCAAGGTCACACAGCTATAATAATGGATGAATGAGATTAGAACCCTAGTTAAGACGAAATTCTAAAAATGTCTAAAAGCATACATATCAAAACATTAGCAGTGGTTATCTTAAGATGGCATTTCTATAGAATCAGAAATAGAGAAATGGGACCTAATCAAGCTTCTAAGCTTTTGCACAGCAAAGGAAACCATAATCATAACAAAAAGACAACTTATGGACTGGGAGAAAATATTTGCAAATGATACAACTAACAAGAGCTTAATTTTCTAAATATACAAATAGTTCATACAACTCAAAAACAAACAAACAATCCCATCAAAAAATGGGCAAAAGGCCTAAATAGACATTTCTCCAAAGAAGACATACTGATGGTCAATAGGGACATGAAAAGATGCTCATCATCTCTAGTTATTAGAAAAATGCAATCAAAATTACAATGAGGTACCCCTTGCACCAGGCAGAATGGACATCATTAAAAAGTCTACAAATGACAAATGATAGAGAGGGTGTGAAGAAAAGAACTCTGCTACACTGTTGGTGGGAATGTAAATTGGTGCAGCCACTATGGAAGAGTATGGAGCATGGAGGTTCCTCAAAAAACTAAACATGGAGTTGCCATGTGATCCAGCTGGTCCCACTCCTGGGCATCTATCCAGACCAAACTCTAATCTGAAAAGAAACACACACCTCTATGTTCACAGCAGCATTAGTCACAATACCCAAGACATGGAAACAACCTAAACTGTCCTTTGACATATGAATGGATAAAGCTCTCTCTACACACACGCACACACGCAGAGGAATATTACGCAGCCTTAAAAAGAATGCAATCATGCCATCTGCAGCAACATGAATGGACCTACAGATTATCATACCAAATGAAGCAAGTCAAAAAGAGAAAGACAGGGGCTTCGCTGGTGGCTCAGCGGGAAAGAATCCACCTGCCATGGGTACGGGTACAATCCTGGATCCAGGAAGATCCCACATGCTGTGGAGCAACTAAGCCCGTGCACCACAAGTACTGCGCCTACGCTCTAGAGCCCGGGCACCACAGCTACTGAGCCTGCGCACCCTGGAGCCCACGCCCTACAAGAGAAGTCGCCGCAATGAGACGTCTGCACACCGCAGCTAGAGAGTGGCCCCTGCTTGCCACAGCCAGAGAAAAGCCCGTGCAGCAACAAAGACCCAGCACAGCCCGAAATATGTTATTTTTTTAAAAGACAAATACAGT